TTTTTGCGACAGGCTGTGAATTTATCCACAACCCAGATGGCACTGGGACTAGAAGTTAGCATCATTTGTAATATTAAACCAGTTCCTCCACTCCACTTCCCTCCCACAGTAGTACCCCTTTGCCAAACACAAACCTGCACTCTCCCCACAACTGTTCCATTCAATGTAGCAGGTGCCTGGGTGCAGCAGCCAGCATGGGTTGTAGGTAAACCTGCTATTGAAAGTGCTAGTTAGTGTATGTGTATTTACCATGGCCTTCTAGTGGCTGGAGGCCTAAAGAAGATAAAAGCCCTACTGCTCGTGCCAGCAGCTGTTTTCACTCCAGTGTGCTGGGTTCTGTCTGCAATGCTGCATGCATGTGGCTTCGCAGACAGCTCAGGGGTCTGTAGGGATGCAGCTACTCAAACATGGCAGCCCTCCAGCACTGCCACTTTCCAGGGAAATTCTGGCTGTGTTAACTTCCGAGGCATGATGCCATTTTTGGAAGCCAGAGAGCCATACAGAGGGGCTCACCCTGAGACTTCTCCGTACCTTGGCAACATTCCATTGCTATTGATTGAAAGGGCCATTCATCAGTGCCAGGAGCCTTGATATTCAAATTGCCTTGTGTCTGGGCCACATGGAAGGCAGCAAGCCTGAGGCCCTCTCACAATGCACTCCCTGACTGTGAGAAGGCAGGGGTCTGCGCCAGGTAAGCATCCTGCTCTCCTGGTACCCTGGAGGATTCTCGGGTGTTTCAGTCCCCTGCTGTGCTGCAGTCCCCAGCACTCCCTTCTGCAAACCACAGGATCCTGTCTGGGTCCAGCAGCCTGAATTCAATAGCAGTACAAATGAGCCCCCTTTCTTCTCTCCCACATGGGGGCACTGCACCTGGCCATTCAATGGGCATGTCTAGACAGCAATCAAGATGTGTGATTGCAACATGTGTAGACAGACCCAAGCTGGCTTTGATCCAGCAGTAAAGCTATGGCAGCTGGACTTAGCCCTGCCCCTGCAGGACCCTGAGCTTTGATCAAGCTAGCCTGGGTATCCCTACACATGCAACAGTCACATGTCCGGAGAGCAGCAGAGACACACAAGGCGCAGAGAGTCTTGTGGGCAGGCCCATTCCTGTAGTATGGGCCTCCCTCCCGTGGTACTGCAATATCAGCACAGGCAACACATTGGCTAGGGCTACCAGACAAACCCCTGAGACTTTGCAACACAAACCCAGCAGCCACAACCATCCCTATGTACACATGGGTTCCTTGATCTTCTGTCACCTCCCGCTGATAGATGCACAGGGTTCTTGGACTGGCCTGCCTCGTTCTCACCCCTTGCCCCCAGGTGTGCAGCCCAACAGAGGGTTGATCCGGCAGAATGCAGCTCATCTGCAAGTGTTTCCTTCCCCCACCGTGAGATGATGGTGATTGCGAAAGCAATCAGTGCCAGGTGGGGGAAGAAAGACACTTCAAAAGCAAGCGGGACTGGAGTTGGGAGGCTGCACCCCTCTGGCACAGCTGGGTCCCCCAGAGGGGGGCACTAGCCCCTCCCGTGGGGGGTAAGGAAAGCAGAGCACATGCCATAGGCTATTTCAAATGAGTTAGGGGGTGCTGGAGGCACACAGGAGCTCAATAGGCCATTAGCTCTCCATGGAGTCAGGTACAAGGCAGGCCGGCACTATGGCAACCTTCCCATACCCAGCTCCCCAAGGGCGCTCAAACCTCCAGCCGCAGCTCAGCTGGCTGGCACAGTAGAGGGACCAGTGCTGCGATGTGCTGGCCCCAGGACTGGAACAGCAGGGCGTGTGCAGACTAGGGCAGACAGGGTGGGGTTCCAGGGCACAGGCAGGAGGTACAGTGTGCGAGTTTGAGCAGCACCGGCCTGAACAGACCCCATATTGCTCACATTTAAGTTCACTAAATTCACTCTAACCCAGGCTCCTGCCGGAAGCTGCCTGCAAACCTCCTGCCCGCCCGCCTGTTCCTGGACAGAGCCTTGCTGAAATCAGGCAGCAGTGAAACACACATGGACATGTAGCTATTGGTACCTCCCCATTGGCCATGTCACAGGTCTGGGATAGTGGAGCTGGCGGCTTACGACCATCCATCAAGCAGAGTGGGAGAATTTCACACCCAACACCCTACTGCCTCTCACTTAGCAAAACCCTCACAGCTCTGCTCCAAGCTGGGCTGCCACATAAACACCCCTCTATCGTCTCCAGCATACAGGGCTTCTCACCATTGGCAGAGCCTTTCACCCTACACTGACACAATTAGAGGCCTTTGAGTGGTAAAGTTTCCCCCAGGCACTGTGTGCATACTGCATTCTCCACCGCGCACAGCTGCCTGCAGCAGGGCGAATTCCCTGGAGCTGGGCTCATCCTTAGAGGTGTAGGTAGTGGTGATCATCCATAGTTCAGGAGGTTTTCTCCACCCAGTCAATAATATTTGGAATAATCAGCTCCTCCCAGGCCAGCAACATCAAAACTGCCCTCAGCAGGGAAGTCACAGCCAGGGAGATGGGCATCAGATCTGCCAGAAGCCCAGCATCTTCCTCCCCAAAGTGCTTCAAGCACGCCAGGACAAAGGGAGTGGAAACTGCCTACATCTCCCAAGCAGCAGAATTGCTGAGCCCATTGAATTCAGAGGGACTCAAGCCCGTGCATAAGTGCTACCCTGAATTGGGCCCTGTCATAAATATAAAGGGAAGGGTAAACACCTTTAAAATCCCTCCTGGCCAGAGGAAAAACCCTTTCACCTGTAAAGGGTTAAGAAGCTAGGATAACCTCGCTGGCACCTGACCAAAATGACCAATGAGGAGACAAGATACTTTCAAAGCTGGAGGGGGGGGAACAAAGGTTCTCTCTGTCTGTGTGAGGCTTTTGCCGGGAACAGAAAGGAATGGAGTCTTAGAACTTAGTAAGTAATCTAGCTAGATATGCCTTAGATTCTGTTTTGTTTAAATGGCTGATAAAATAAGCTGTGCTGAATGGAATGTATATTCCTTTTTTTTGTGTCTTTTTGTAACTTAAGGTTTTGCCTAGAGGGACTCTCAACGTTTTGAATCCGATTACTCTGAAAGGTATTTACCATCCTGATTTTACAGAGGTGATTCTTTTACTTTTTCTTCAATTAAAATTCTTCTTTTAAGAACCTGATTGCTTTTTCATTGTTCTTAAGATCCAAAGGTTTGGGTCTGTGTTCACCTATGCAAATTGGTGAGGATTTTTATCAAGCCTTCCCCAGGAAAGGGGGTGTAGGGTTTGGGAGGATTCTGGGGGGAAAGACGTTTCCAAGTGGGCTCTTTCCCTGTTATATATTTGTTAGACGCTTGGTGGTGGCAGCAATAAAGTCGAAGGGCAAAAGGTAAAATAGTTTGTACCTTGGAGAAGTTTTAATCTAAGCTGGTAAAAATAAGCTTGGGGGTTTTCATGCAGGTCCCCACATCTGTACCCTAGAGTTCAGAGTTGGGAAGGAACCTTGACATGGTGGAAGCAGTGGGATTAACTTGAAATCATTTTGAGATCAATTTGAGATTTTTTGAACAAGAAGCACAGATTTTAAAAAGCGATTTTTTTTTCCCTTTGGGCTGCTGGAAAGCAGGTTTTCAGCTGAAAGCAGTTAAGAGTTTTTTTTTTGTCTCTGCTTGGGGTCCAGAGCAGAGACAAAAGGGAATTGTCTTTTGTGAGCTGGAGTTTTCTCTACCAAAAGGCAGGGTAGTTAACCTCCTGCAGGGAAATTCACAAGTCTTCACAGACCTGAAGAAGATTTTTTTTACCTAAGAGCAACTAGAGGAGTTTTCTGTCTATTTGCCTGGAGACAAAGGTGTTAGGGGTTTTTTTAAGGATTTTTCTGTAGGCTGACAATCACTGTCAGAGAACATAGGTATCTGGTTACAGCACAGCAAAATTTTACAAGCCAAGTTTTTTGTTTGTTTTATTTCTAACTCTCGGGTGTAAAGTTAGTTAAAAATAGAGAGGCAAACATGACAGAGCCCAAAACAGAAACAGCCAAAGAGGCTGCCCACAGGAGAGCTATGGAGGCAAAGGAAAAAGAAATGGAGGAAAAGGAAAAAGAGAGGAAGCATCCCTGGAGATAGAGAAGGCAAAGGCTCAGCAGAATAGCAATCCTTCTCCAGGTACCATTTCACATCCCAGGAAGTTCCCCACCTACAAGTTAGGCGATGATACCGAGGCCTTCTTAGAAAACTTCAAATGGGCCTGCCTTGGGTATAGCATCTCTACAGACCAATACATGGTAGAGCTGAGGCCGCAGCTCAGTGGACCCTTAGCTGAGGTGGCGGCTGAAATGCCTAAGGAACACATGAACAAGTATGAACTGTTTAAAACCAAGGCGAGAGTCAGAATGGGGCTAACACCCGAGGATTCCTGTAGGCGGATCAGAGCCCTAAGATGGAAACCAGACGTGTCATTTACCCGACATGCCTACCACATTAACCAAGGGGTACTGGCAGGTACCGCTAGATGAATCCGCCAAGGAAAAGTCAGCCTTCACCACACAGGTCGGGCTGTATGAATTTAATGTATTCCCTCTCGGGCTGCGGAATGCACCCGCCACCTTCCAAAGACTTGTAGATGGTCTCCTAGTGGGATTAGGAGAATATGCAGTCGCCTACCTTGACGATGTGGCCATATTTTCAGATTCCTGGGCAGAACACCTGGAACATCTACAAAAAGTCTTCCGGGGGGAGGGATAGCTCAGGGGTTTGAGCATTAGCCTGCTTAAACCAGGGTTGAGAGTTCAATCCTTGAGGGGGCCATTTAGGGATCTGGGACAAAAATTGGGGATTGGCCCTGCTTTGAGCAGGGGGTTGGACTAGATGACCTCCTGTGGTCCCTTCCAACCCTGATATTCTATAAGAGAGGCAGGACTAACTGTTAAGGCTGAGAACCTTGACAGGCCCTCCGGGCTCGGAGCAGACAGGACTCTGAGAATTCACACCCTCGCCATACACACACACACGAGAGAGAGAGAGAGAGAGCGCTCTGGGCTCCTTACCGGCATTCTCTTCCTCTTCCTTGCAGCTCTGGCGAATTTTCTTCCGGCACACGTAAGCCAGGGCGCCCAGTAGCCCCAAGATGCAGATAGCGAGTCCCACGGTCACCCAGAGAGCCACGGCAGGGAAGGTGAGGTGCTGGCCTTCAGAGAGAAAAACAGAAATGCCACCATGGTCAGTGCTGCTGCTACAGAGAGAGAGGGAGCACATCCCAGAGGAATGCCAAAAGCTATGCCCTGGCTCCTTGCTCCCCTCCTATGGGAAGGGCGTTTGGTGGGACAGAGACACTGAGGGGCTCTTTGTCCTGTGCCTCCCCCATTAGCAAGGTACTAGAGCACACACCGAACTACATGCTGGGGAGCACTGCCACTGCCTTCAATGGGACAACTCACGTGCTTGGAGTTAGGCATGTACTGAGTCAATGACTGAGTGCATCATAGAATCATAGAATATAAGGGTTGGAAGGGACCCCAGAAGGTCATCTAGTCCAACCCCCTGCTCGAAGCAGGACCAATTCCCAGTTAAATCATCCCAGCCAGGGCTTTGTCAAGCCTGACCTTAAAAACCTCTAAGGAAGGAGATTCTACCACCTCCCTAGGTAACGCATTCCAGTGTTTCACCACCCTCTTAGTGAAAAAGTTTTTCCTAATATCCAATCTAAACCTCCCCCACTGCAGCTTGAGACCATTACTCCTCGTTCTGTCATCTGCTACCATTGAGAACAGTCTAGAGCCATCCTCTTTGGAACCCCCTTTCAGGTAGTTGAAAGCAGCTATCAAATCCCCCCTCATTCTTCTCTTCTGCAGCCTAAACAATCCCAGCTCCCTCAGCCTCTCCTCATAACTCATGTGTTCCAGACCCCTAATCATTTTTGTTGCCCTTCGCTAGACTCTCTCCAATTTATCCACATCCTTCTTGAAGTGTGGGGCCCAAAACTGGACACAGTACTCCAGATGAGGCCTCACCAATGTCGAATAGAGGGGAACGATCACGTCCCTCGATCTGCTCGCTATGCCCCTACTTATACATCCCAAAATGCCATTGGCCTTCTTGGCAACAAGGGCACACTGCTGACTCATATCCAGCTTCTCGTCCACTGTCACCCCTAGGTCCTTTTCCGCAGAACTGCTGCCTAGCCATTCGGTCCCTAGTCTGTAGCTGTGCATTGGGTTCTTCCGTCCTAAGTGCAGGACCCTGCACTTATCCTTATTGAACCTCATCAGATTTCTTTTGGCCCAATCCTCCAATTTGTCTAGGTCCTTCTGTATCCTATCCCTCCCCTCCAGCGTATCTACCACTCCTCCCAGTTTAGTATCATCCGCAAATTTGCTGAGAGTGCAATCCACACCATCCTCCAGATCATTTATGAAGATATTGAACAAAACCGGCCCCAGGACCGACCCTTGGGGCACTCCACTTGACACCGGCTGCCAACTAGACATGGAGCCATTGATCACTACCCCTTGAGCCCGACAATCTAGCCAGCTTTCTACCCACCTTATAGTGCATTCTTCCAGCCCATACTTCCTTAACTTGCTGACAAGAATACTGTGGGAGACCGTGTCAAAAGCTTTGCTAAAGTCAAGAAACAATACATCCACTGCTTTCCCTTCATCCACAGAACCAGTAATCTCATCATAAAAGGCAATTAGATTAGTCAGGCATGACCTTCCCTTGGTGAATCCATTGTGGCTGTTTCTGATCACTTTCCTCTCATGCAAGTGCTTCAGGATTGATTCTTTGAGGACCTGCTCCATGATTTTTCCAGGGACTGAGGTGAGGCTGACTGGCCTGTAGTTCCCAGGATCCTCCTTCTTCCCTTTTTTAAAGATTGGCACTACATTAGCCTTTTTCCAGTCATCTGGCACTTCCCCCGTTCGCCACGAGTTTTCAAAGATAATGGCCAATGGCTCTGCAATCACAGCCGCCAATTCCTTCAGCACTCTCGGATGCAACTTGTCTGGCCCCATGGACTTGTGCACGTCCAGCTTTTCTAAATAGTCCCTAACCACCTCTATCTCCACAGAGGGCTGGCCATCTCTTCCCCATTTTGCGATGCCCAGCGCAGCAGCCTGGGAGCTGACCTTGTTAGTGAAAACAGAGGCAAAAAAAGCATTGAGTACATTAGCTTTTTCCACATCCTCTGTCACTAGGTTGCCTCCCTCATTCAGTAAGGGGCCCACACTTTCCTTGGCTTTCTTCTTGTTGCCAACATACCTGAAGAAACCCTTCTTGTTACTCTTGACATCTCTGGCTAGCTGCAGCTCTAGGTGCGATTTGGCCCTCCTGATATCATTCCTACATGCCCGAGCAATATTTTTATACTCTTCCCTGGTCATATGTCCAACCTTCCACTTCTTGTAAGCCTCTTTTTTATGTTTAAGATCCGCTAGGATTTCACCATTAAGCCAAGCTGGTCGCCTGCCATATTTACTATTCTTTCGACTCATCGGGATGGTTTGTCCCTGTAACCTCAACAGGGATTCCTTGAAATACAGCCAGCTCCCCTGGACTCCTTTCCCCTTCAAGTTAGTCCCCCAGGGGATCCTGGCCATCCGTTCCCTGAGGGAGTCGAAGTCTGCTTTCCTGAAGTCCAGGGTCCGTATCCTGCTGCTTACCTTTCTTCCCTGCATCAGGATCCTGAACTCAACCAACTCATGGTCACTGCCTCCCAGATTCCCATCCACTTTTGCTTCCCCCACTAATTCTATCCGGTTTGTGAGCAGCAGGTCAAGAAAAGCGCCCCCCCTCGTTGGCTCCTCTAGCACTTGCGCCAGGAAATTGTCCCCTACGCTTTCCAAAAACTTCCTGGATTGTCTATGCACCGCTGTATTGCTCTCCCAGCAGATATCAGGAAAATTAAAGTCACCCATGAGAATCAGGGCATGCGATCTAGTAGCTTCCGTGAGCTGCCGGAAGAAAGCCTCATCTACCTCATCCCCCTGGTCCGGTGGTCTATAGCAGACTCCCACCACTACATCACTCTTGTTGCACACACTTCTAAACTTAATCCAGAGACACTCAGGTTTTTCTGCAGTTTCGTACCGGAGCTCTGAGCAGTCATACTGCTCCCTTACATACAGTGCTACTCCCCCACCTTTTCTGCCCTGCCTGTCCTTCCTGAACAGTTTATAACCATCCATGACAGTACTCCAGTCATGCGAGTTATCCCACCAAGTCTCTGTTATTCCGATCACGTCATAGTTCCTTGACATCACCAGGACCTCCAGTTCTCCCTGCTTGTTTCCAAGGCTTTGTGCATTTGTATATAAGCACTTGAGATAACCTGTTGATCGCCCCTCATTCCCAGTATGAGGCAGGAGCCCTCCCCTCACAGACATTCCTGCCTGTGCTTCCTCCCGGTATCCCGCTTTCCCACTTACCTCAGGGCTTTGGTCTCCTTCCCCCGGTGAACCTAGTTTAAAGCCCTCCTCACTAGGTTAGCCAGCCTGCTGGCAAAGATGCTCTTCCCTCTCTTCGTAAGATGGAGCCCGTCTCTGCCCAGCACTCCTCCTTCATGGAACACCATCCCATGGTCAAAGAATCCAAAGCCTTCTCTCCGACACCACCTGCGTAGCCATTCGTTGACTTCCACGATTCGACGGTCCCTACCTAGGCCTTTTCCTTCCACGGGGAGGATGGACGAGAACACCACTTGCGCCTCCAACTCCTTTATCCTTCTTCCTAGAGCCACATAGTCCGCAGTGATCCGCTCAAGGTCATTCTTGGCAGTATCATTGGTGCCCACGTGGAGAAGCAGGAAGGGGTAGCGATCCGAGGGCTTGATGAGTCTCGGCAGTCTCTCCGTCACATCGCGAATCTTGGCCCCCGGCAAGCAGCAGACTTCTCGGTTTTCCCGGTCAGGGCGGCAGATCATCAAGGGAGATGATCCCAGGCCAGTGCCCGGGGGGATCTCAGTGGCCCCCAAAGCTCAGGAGCTATCGCAGTCCCCCTTGCTGCGGCGATGGGCAGCCCGCAAAAAGGTGGAGGTGGCTCAGTGGGGATGACACAGCCCTAAGTCAGGGTTCATCTCCGAGTCTCGGAGTGTGCAGAGCAGAGTGGGAAATCTGACCAGAACAGGCGGCCTTCCAGCACCTCCTGCTTCTGGGAAGCCAGCCCAGCTACGGACACCTCAGAAATAGAGTGATGGGGGCTTTGGGGTAAATATGGGGGAGTCTGATTTTATCACCCATTCCTACCCTGCTCTGCCACGAGGGGGCGAGGCTAGCTGATGCCCAGAGTACTAAGGAAAAAGGCAGTCAGTTCAGAGGGTCTCCTCTCCCCACGGCAGAGCGTGTTTTAGGTGGGTTAGGCTGACTTCCTCCGCCAGTTACTTGCATTTCAGACTACCTCAGTCAAACACAATGACTGGTGCAAAAACACTCCCACCATGGGGTCACGGGTGCACACATTACACAGAATGTGGATGGCCGCCAGGCCTGCAGCTGACTCATTCAGCTGAGAGATCTTGAACCAAGCCAAAAGGAGAGAACGAGTCACTCCCAAAAATATGTAGCAATAAAAAAAAAAAAAAAAAAAGTGTGTGAGAACTGCAGTTCTCAAAAAGCCATTCAAAACCACCTGGTTTCTAAGTTCTCTCAGTCACTGCTTTGTGCAGCCTCGGTGTAATGTTTTATGCGAAATAGCCTAATTTGCATAATCACAAATAATTTGCTTATAACCATAAACTTCAGCACAAAAGGAAAATCTGCATGGGTTTAATAATGTTGAAAAGCGTTGGCTCAGCAGCCCTGGTGAATGAAGCGCCCCGCCAGCTAGTTGCAGGGAAAATGGGTTCTCGATGTGAGAGCTAGGATGGCCCAGTGGTTAGGGAGATCTGGAGATCTGGATTCAAGTTGCTGCTCTCCCATCATCATCCTGTGTGACCCTGAGCAAGTCACTCTCTCTCTCTCTGTGCCTCGGTTTCCCCATCTGTACAATGAGAACAGCCCTGCCTCCCAGGGATGCTAAAGTTTATGAGGTGTTCCAATGACATGGTAATGGGGGACAGCCAAGTACCAAAGTCCCCATCCTGCCAGCTTAGCTAAACGCCATTTGCCTGAGCAGTGGGTGTAGCCTGAACTAATACTGAAAATGGCTTAATTGCAAAAGTACCGTAAAGACGAAAGCGTGTACAATTGAG